GGTTTAACAGTGTTTGCAGCTTTGATGGTAATTGGCCAAGCTGTGAATGCCCACAGGGTTTCACATTGCTTGATCCAAATGATCCAAATGGTGATTGCAAGCCTGATTTCACTCCAACCTGTGATGAAGTTGATTCAAATAATGCCGGAGACATGTTTGATTTCATCGAGCTCAATGGTATTAATTGGCCACAATCTGACTATGTGCACATGAAACCAACTAATGAAGAGAGCTGCAAAAGTTCCTGTTCTAAAGATTGTTTCTGTGCTGTTGCAATTTATGCAAATGCCCAATGTTGGAAGAAGAGGTTTCCACTCTCTAACGGGAGGAAGGAAACATCACCTCCTGCAAAGGCGTTTGTTAAATTCCAGAAAGGTGATCCTCGTCCTGGAACCCCTTCTCAGCTTCCAGCAAAAAATAAGGATCAGAAAAGTCTGATACTTGTGGTATCGACCCTCTTTGGTACATCGGCGTTTGTAAACATCATATTGATCGGTGTGATTTGTGTGGGTTTCTTTGTAATTTACAAGAAGAAGGCTAGACATATATATCCAAGTAGTAAATCTATTGAAACCAATCTTTCTCATTTTACATATCAAGATCTAGTCGAAGCTACAGATGAATTTAAGGATGAATTGGGAAAAGGAGCTTTTGGGGTAGTCTATAAAGGTGTCATAGGGAAACAGATAGTGGCTGTGAAGAAGTTAAATAGGTTGGTTCAAGATGGTGAAAAGGAATTTCAAACGGAGGTTGATGCTATTGCAAGGACTCATCATAAAAATTTGGTGCAGCTTCTTGGCTATTGTGATGAGGGTGAGCAACGGCTATTGATTTATGAGTACATGAGCAATGGCACTTTGGCAATGTTTCTTTTTGGAGAAACGAGACCTACATGGAAACATAGGAGTTATATTGCTGTAGGGGTTGCAAAAGGACTCGCATACCTCCATGAAGAGTGTAGCACCCAAATCATTCACTGTGACATAAAGCCTCAAAATATACTTCTTGATGACTACTATAATGCTAAGATTTCTGACTTTGGATTGGCAAAGCTTTTGATGATGGATCAAAGTCATACAAACACTGGAATAAGAGGAACAAAAGGATATGTTGCTCCTGAATGGTTTAGGAACATGCCTGTCACAGTAAAGGTTGATGTCTATAGCTTTGGAGTGTTGCTACTAGAGATCATTTCATGCCGAAAGAGCCTGGTTTTTGAGTGTGATAATGAAGGGGTGGCAGTTTTAACTGATTTGGCATGGGATTACTATCACGGAGGTAGACTGGATGCATTTGTTGAGAACGATTCCGAGGCCATAGATGACTACAAGAGATTGACGTGGTTTGTGATGGTTGGTCTTTGGTGTATACAAGAAAACTCCGCACTCAGGCCAACCATGAGGAAGGTCGTCCAGATGCTTGAAGGAGGAATTGAAGTGGCAGAACCTCCATGTCCATGCCCTTTCTCTATTACGACTTGCAAATTGTAACAGCTCTACTATATGTTTTTATTTTATTTTATTATTTGTGTTATCACCACCTTCCTAATTGGCTTGTAATCCGTAAACAAATAAAGTGTATGTTGGATCATACTCGATTTGACAAATTAGAGTTAGCTTCTTTTCTTGACGACAGACCACCTATATTATCATCGACACCTGAGCCTGCTATGAAACCCATTATTGTTGCTTCTAATCAGTCTACTTCAACTCCTTATGGACTTTGTGAGCCCACTCTGCACTCCATTCCAACAGCCCAACACGATGATCCGTCAGAACTAGCTCCACACGATGATCCACTTGAGCACGAACCAACCTCTGTGCATCCTCATCACGGCAATTCCACTCATCCCATGGTGACTCGATGTAAATAAAAAATTTATAAGAAACCTCACATTGTTGACTATGCATCGCTTGTTGATCACGGATTGCATGTTTCTTTATTTTCCAGTCATGAGCCCAAAGGTTCCAAATCCGCTTCCAAAAATCCAAGATGGTTAGCTGCAATGCATGAAGAACTTGAAGCCCTTCGTCAAAACAATATATGGACCTTAGTCCCTCATCCACATTACTCTAATGTTGTTGGCTCCAAGTGGGTCTATCGGACTAAATATAACACAGATGTCTCCGTTGAATGTTTTAAAGCATGCCTTGTAGCTCAAGGTTTCTCCCAAATTCCCGACATTGACTACACATATACCTTTAGTCTGGTTGTCAAGGCTTCCACAATTCGTATTGTCCTATCCTTAGCAGTCTTGCATAATTGGCGTTTGCGTCAACTTGATGTTGAAAATGCTTTTCATCATGGTCAATTAAATGAAACTGTCTTTATGGAGCAACCCTCTAGATTTATTGATTCACGATTTTCGCATCATGTTTGCATGTTATCCAAAGCTTTATATGGATTAAAACATGCACCAAGGCCTTGGTTTCATCGTCTTAGCTTGTTTTTACGTACCAATGGTTTCACTTGCAGTTGTGCTAACACATCTTTATTCATTTTTGCTAAAGATTAGTGTATTATGTACTTGCTCGTCTATGTGGGTGACTTGATTCTTATATGAAATCAAGAATTTGTTATTACAACTTTCACTACATGCCTAAACCAAGAATTTGCCATCAAAGATCTTGGTGATCTTAATTACTTTCTTGGCTTGGAAGTCAGCTACACTGACAATGGAATGTTTCTACAAAAAATGTTCTTACTCGTGGTGACCTACTTGACTCATAGCATGTTCAAACGCCTTTAGCTACTCATGAGAGCTTTATTCGAGGTGGTGCTATGTTCTCGGGCCCTACTTGTTATTGCTCATTGGTAGGTATCCTTCAGTACTTAACCATAACTAGACCTGATTTATCGTATGATGTCAATCAAGCTAGCCAATACCTTCATGCTCCCACATAAACTAATTTTCGGCAAGTCAAACGCATTCTGCGCTACGTTCAGGGTACTATTCCATTTGGTCTCACATTTAGCCAACCACACACCAACTCTATCTTGGGGTATTCTAATTTTAACTGGGTAGCTAATACCGAACTTTTTTTTATTTAAATGCATATTTGTTTAGCTTGAATTTATCTCTCTGTCATATTAGGAGAATATGTTGTAATCAATTCATATAAATATACATACCATACAATCAATTGATGTGTGTATGAGTAAATCTCACTTTACAATGGTGAGCTTTAGGTGGTTAAAGATTGTACTAAGGTGGTGCTAGGGAATGTTAAAGATGTGACCTCTATCCAGAGTGAATTCAAATTTGTAATGTGGAAGGGTTTTTCGAGGAGGAGGTTAAGTACAATGGTGGTACGTGGACGTGGCTTCAATTTTAATCTATTTCCACTTGTATTAGGGCATCCACAATTCATTGAACTCTATAAAGTTCAACTGATTGCCACTTCATCTTTCTACAATCCATACAAATCTATCATTTTTTCCTACAATGCGTTGAACTCTACAAAGTTTAATAGAATGTTACAAAATGTAATTTATAGTAAATATTTAAGAATTAAAAACTTTCCTTTTTCCCATTGAAGAGTTCAGTGGACATTGAACTCAAAATCCATTGAATGCCAACGTGCCATCTCACAATTGTGCAGTTTCATCCATTGAATGACATATAGGCTTGCTACCCTATTCAACTCTCTTATTGAACTCACTATTATGGATGCCTTCAAGTTTAGACATAATATATAAATTAATGCGTACTTTAAAAAGCTACAAAATGTTGCCAGGAACTTTATTATATAAAGGAATTTAGTATTATTTAGTACTTATCCGTTAGTATAATAGTTGTCATCTTTATACTTTTATTAGTTTGGTTGTTAACTCCTTGTAAATTACGGAGACTTCATTGTATTCATATTTAAGCCTTTTACTATTTAATCAAATATCAATAACCTGTTCAATAATATTCTTTATGGTATCAGAGCGGGTCTGATGGATCTGTTTCATTGACACAAACGTTATCATGATGGGAGGAGAAGGATCGCAGCCGAAGAATGATGGGAAAAGTACCACCGATTCTTACTCTCATGTTAGGAAATCAAACGATACTTGTCAAGACTCAAAACTGTAACAACCCGAAATTTCCGTATCATTTATTGTAACTCTTTCGTAGTACCATTCGCGCAACCAATCGTCATTCCAAATTCGATTTCCGATCTTCCGTATAATTAGGTCATTAATTAATACACATTTAAAATGACTTAATGGGTGTCTTAATACATTTAGAAATCATTTTAACACCCAACTTTAGTGATCGGAATATTTCTAAAATTACCGTATCGGGTTATGGTAACTCAATCGGGTACAACCAAAAGCCTCGTCTAACGCCGGTATCGGGTAAATTCTACCGTGTCCAAAACTTAAACACTATATAAACGTGTTTAAGACTCCATTTGAAGCCTTTGGTCAATTTACCATTAAACACTCACAACCTCTCTCCTCAACCCAAAATCAAGGTCCAAAACAAAGATTTAAGGCTTGAAATCAAAGAGGTAACACCCCTAACTTGTTATTCAACCTCTTTAGCCTTCAATTTTGTGTTTAATTTGTGATTTGGGACCAAGAACATGAGTTTACGGCCAAGGAACTAGCTTGGGCCGTAAACTCCTATCAATGGGGTTTTTAAGCCCTAAAACTCTTCTTTAGCATTATTGGACATTAGATATGACTTAATGGCTTAATGGAAAGGACTTATAACATGTAAAACATTGATTTTGAAGGACAAAAGTGAGTTTACGGCCAAGACACATTCTTGGGCCGTAAACTCATATTCAAAGGGTTTTTGAGCCAAGTTAACCCTTCCAAATCATAGTTGGGACTTAGATATGACTTGTGGGACATGGGGTTTAGCATCTAAACACTTTAAACATGAAATATGGGGGGAAAAAGTGAGTTTACGGCCAAGACACACTCTTGGGCCGTAAACTCCACATAAATGAGGATTTGGAGCCTTAAAACATGTCCAAATGCCCTGAAACTCAACCAATGGCTTTGTGGTAAAATCTAGATGCATCTAAAAATAGTTTAAGGGTTTGAAACATATCAAAAGTATCATTTATAGGAGTTTACGGCCTAGGAACATACCCTTGGCCGTAAACTCATAAAAACTATGTTAATGATGCATCAAATACACTCAAATGGCTTGTATAAATTTCTAGAATCACATGTGATTGTTTTAAGCATCAAAAACTATCTTTTTCATGAGTATAGTAGAGTTTACGGCCTTAGAACATACCTCTAGGCCGTAAACTCCAATAAGTGTGTTAAATGATGTTCTAAATTCATAACAAATCTTGGAAAATTAACTAGAATCACATGTGATTGTCCTTTGAAGCTCAAATCAATTTTTCCTTGGCCATAGGTGAGTTTACGGCTGTAAACTCCTATGGTATGGCCGTAAACTCCCTTTTAAGTGTTATAATTTCATTCAATCAACTCCAAGGCATTTTAGAAATCCATTCCAACAATCCCCATGTCCATTTAAGCCATTAAACACCCAAAATCACACCCACATGAGTTTACGGCCGTAAACTCATGTATGTGTGTGTTCTATGGCTGTAAACTCTTTAAAATGTTTACTCTTGGGGAGTAAACTCAAGTCCCAAGTCCCTAGTGCCATTACACGTCCGAAGATGTCACCCGGGTCACTCCAAACGCTCGTTTTGAGGTGTTTGACCTCGTTGGAGTGTAATGTTCCATATGATTAGTGAATGTATCCCTAATTGTATATATATGGACATTATTTCATTTTACATAGGGACATCGCGAGTAATCAAACCCCGAACCAACGTCTAGTATTCAAAACCGACACGTTTCAGAATCCGGTGAGTTCATACCCCTACCCTTTTTCACTGTTTTCACTGTTTTCAGGGGGGAACACAAGCAAAGTACAAGGGAATTCTTGTACTCAAAACACATTTTCAAATATGTGCTTCATATTTCATATGCTTTTGTTACTGATTACCATAACCAATAACCACTCGAACATGCAGATCACGTAACATATATTTGTGAAATAGGTCTTTAAACTGTTATGTTTTACATATATTTCACAAATGGTTTTCCACATTTTATCAGTTAAAAGCATGACATTAAACATTTGAACATAATACTTGTACACTGTTTTGTCCTCGGTAACACTCCACACACATACGCGAGTGGAGGACTATCATATTATTACTAGTAAATTTGTTAATCCTGTATGATTGGAGACACGTCCTCGGAGAACACTCCACCGAGATACGCGAGTGGAGGACTACACCCATAACCAGAATCTCTGGTATTTAGAGAGCGTGACTTGAGTGTATAGATCTATACGAGGCTGACTACCCCACACCTGGCTGCTAGCTACAGCCGAACCGAAATGGTTCAAGGGTGACGAAAGTCATAAGTATGTGGACTACTTATTGCCACATGTGGACTACTTATTGCCATAGGTTTCAGTCTATTGTATGGTTATGGAACTCGCAATTAGGATAAC